GGCCAGGCACACAGACAAGGCCAGAGTTCCCAGTATGGTCAGTCACAGACTGGGGAAATACAAGAGCAAAATAAGTACTTCCAAGGGACTGATGGAACAAGACAAACCTCTTATGATGAGCAATCAGGAAGATCAGGGAGGCTAAGTCAACAGACTCTAGGACAGGAAGTGTACCAAAAGCAGGTACAAGGATTCCAGTCTAGGGACCCACAGCAGATTGGCCACCAGGTATGGGAGCCTGAAGAGGGCAGTCCATACCACCAATACAAACTCTTAGCACACATCCAACAAGAAAGACCACTTTGTCACAGAGGGAGAGACCGGCAATCGTGCAGTAGTGAGCAGGGCCACAGACAGGCCCAGACCAGGCAGAGTCATGGTGAGGGGCAGAGCCACTGGGCAGAGAAAGAGCAGGTTCCTCAAAACTGGGATATACACAACCATGAGGGTCAGGAAGGTCCGTGTAGAACACAGGACAGGCGAACCCATGAAGAGCAGAACCGTCAGAGACAAGACAGGCAAACCCACGAAGATGAGCAGCACCATCAGAGACGAGACAGGCAAACCCACGAAGATGAGAAGAACCATCAGAGACGAGACAGGCAAACCAAGGAAGATGAGCAGAACCATCAGAGACGAGACAGGCAAACCCACGAAGATGAGCAGCACCATCAGAGACGAGACAGGCAAACCCACGAAGATGAGCAGAACCATCAGAGACGAGACAGGCAAACCCACGAAGATGAACAGAACCATCAGAAACGAGACAGGCAAACCAAGGAAGAGGATCAAAACCATCAGCAACAACAGAATAGACAAAACTATGAGAAGAAAGAGAGCTATCAAGGATCTCAGAATCGAAAATCTCAAGTGACCCAGAGAAGCTGTCCTAACAGAGAAAAATTCTACATGAATGAAGATGACCAGAGCCAGGGCTTACAGGGAAGACACTCTGAGCCGTCCTTCTATCCAACCCAGAGCAGTGGGAAGCCCCAAAGCAGAGAACACTGTGGTCACCCTTCCAAGGCAGCTACTGCTCCCAACCCTCTCTATGACTATGTGCAAGAGCAGAAATCCTATCGGTACTAGTCTATGTGAGCACCAGACATAAAGCAACACAAGCCAAAGAAGAAACCTATATGTTGAGTTCATCTTTAATTCTATTTAAGAGGTTGAGAATGTATTTCTTCCCTCTCTTCTCTCCTGTATCTACCTGCAAGGATGTTTTTGAGGACTAGTACTCACTTGAGGGCTTTTCAGTTATTTGGGAAGCAATTCTAGGGTTTTCTGATACAGCAAAATCTAGGTGGTAAGTTGGGTGAGATAACCATATCTTAATGATGATCATTTGGGTATTTAAATAATGTCCTGGTTTGCCCTCTGTGTAGATGAGAGCTGATTGAATCACTGAAAGGCAGAACACTTCTCCCTAAAGTTCAGAAACAGAAAAGATATTCTGAAGATTTACATTACAACTGAGGAGAGGAAACCCAGGTTTTGGTGAGCTTTGGCTGCTATAGATAAAACATAAGGAATTTCAAGCTTCATAGTCTAGACTAGAATGAAACTCAGCGTGAGGCTGCTAGGAGAGCCAGAAACACAGAGTGCATCACTGATCTTGACTACATCTCCCATTCCAGGCTGTCATTCCATACCAGAGGGACTGTCCATTAGTGCCTACCACTAGAGCTGACTAGACTCATTCCAACTCAATGTCTTTATAGTTTCTGATTATATAAAATAGAAAGAATATGTCATATGTTTGCAAATTCCAGGGCACCAAAACTGTCAATCCATAGCTCCTAAGACCTGAAAACTCTTTCAAGGTAATCTATGTGCAGACTATGGAATTGTATTTAAATATCCAATAAACAATTGATGAGCAATGACTTTGATGGCTCCTTTCTTTCTTCACTGCGGGGCTGTGCTATGTTCACTTTTGAGCCATTTTCCAAAACTAAGACATTATTTCTTGACTTCTAAAATGTCTTTGTTCCCTGAGTTCCTGGGCACAGGAAAAAAATAAGACTCAGTACAGAACAAATAACAAAGAGTCAAAATGAAACTTATCTAAATATAATTTTTAGCTCCTTCTCCCCTACTGAGTCACATTTTACCTTTACCACTCACTCACCACCATATTCAAATTGTCATTGAGTCTTCTCAACTCTATAACCCCATAACTTTTGAGTCTCTTCTCATGTCTCCATCTCTACTGCCTTAATGGCCCTTCTCCTCAGTGGCTCCCCAGTGACTTGGGGAAAAAATTCACATTCCTCATTGTGGCACATAGGCTTCACTATCTGATCAGATGACCTGCCCAGCCTAGTCTCATGAAAGGCCCCTTCCAGAAGCATCCAATGCTCCAGCCACACCAAGGACTTAGCCTTTTCTTAGTACACTTGCTTTTTCATGAATTCATACCTTTGAATATACCATCTCATCAGCATGGATTGCCGCCCTGCTATTTTCTGCCTGGCAAAAACCTAGGCATTCTCTGGGTCCCAACTAAAACATCACCTATTCTAAGCAGACTTTCTGGACACTCCAAACTCTGCTTTCTCTAAGTTCACACTCACTTCTGTTATATCATTTGGTCCACACTCTATGGTAATTATCTCTCCTGCAAAACTGGGAATAAGACCACGTCTTATTCAACCTTGTACTGCTCAGCACTTACTATAGTCAGTGATGTCTAGTGGTACTCATTGTTTTTGAATAAGTGGACAGATGGAAGAAATAAGTCTGACTTTGGAATAAATTCAACTGGATATTAATTGGGCATCTACTGTATATAAACCACAAGGACAAACAAGAGAGACTGAATGAATGAATTTGTTTAGTTATGGCTCAATGAATGAAACAGTAACCTTTTTAGGTCTTTTCAACAATAAGGAATTTACTGCCTAGAACAATAAGAGCTGAATTATTAGAAATTAGAAATCAATCCCTGGGAGTATTGAGTTCAATGCATCACCAGAGTTGCGATCCAAAAATCAGAAACGTGTGATTCAGAAGCTTCTGGCATTGCTGCCAAAATTGCCTATCAACATGTCTCTATAACATTATTTGTCAAAAAAAAAAAAAGGCAAAATCTCTGTATGATGGTCTCTAACTCACTTTCACCTTCCAAATGTCATGCAAATATGACTAATTGAAAAAACATTAATTCACATCTAGAACACTAGCTGCAAAGAAGTCTAGGAAATATAGTAGGAGATAGGAATGGATGCTGAGGGCCATTGGATTGTATTTACTATAGGAAGTATATAATAACTCATAACAATAGTTGCTTTCCTGAAGGAAATAAAAATATAGTAAGACAAATATATACAGCAAACAACCATTATGCAAGACACAATGTCATAAGTACAAGCAAATCACTGTTATGACACCAAGAAGGGAGTAAGTAGCTATACCTAGAAGAACTGAGAAAGTCTTTCACAGAGGAAAGGCGTCTAAGCTAGGACCGTGATCCTGGGGGAGAGAGAAATGCAAAGGGCATGGCTTGTCCTGGGCCTCACAATCAATGACAACACCCATATGTTGGCTTACGTTTAAATGACATATTTGTTCATGTGTAAGATGAGTCTCCTTCACAAATCTTCTGTATGACTTAGACTCTCCTTAGCAAACTAAATCAGAAGGTGGAGAATAAGAGTGAAAGAACTCAAAATCTGGAAGCTGCTCAACATTCAGTGTACCATCTACCTGCAAGTCCTTTTTATCTATCTAAAAATACAAAATATCCCAAATTCACGATTCTTTTCATCTCTACTCCTATCATTCCAGTCCAGGCCACCACCTTTCCTAGAATACAGCTTCCTGATGGGACTCCCCATCCCTTTTAAAAAGGTAGACAACATTGTGCCACTCCCTACTTTAAATTCCCAGTAGTTTCTCTCCATACCGAGAATAAAATCTAACTTCATTGTCAGGACCTTCCTACAGGATAAGGCCCTGAAAAGCCTCATCTTTCACCATTCTCCTCTGCATCACCGTTTTCTAATCACTCTGGCCTTCTTTCCATGATTCTAGCAGGACAAGCTGATCCCTACCTGGAAACCTTTGAACCAGACTGTATTTTTTAATCACAATAGTCTTTTTCTCAATCTTGGTATGTCTCGATCCTTATTTCATTCAGGTCTCAGTTTAAAAGTTGCCTCGTGAGAGAAGATTTCTCTGGGATTTATTCTAAGAGTATCCCCCCAGTCACTCTCTATCACATACTCCTCATTTGTGTTGCCAATGTTCTTAACACTTTTCATATTTGATACCTTGTTTTTACGTTGCTCATTTATTGTCTTTTTCTCCCTGCTATAATGTAAGACCCATAAGAACAAGGATTTGGTTTGTCTTGTTTGCTGCTGTACTCTATGCATTTCAGACAGTAGCTCGTCATGATGTATGTCCAATAAATAAGTGTTGGTTGAATGCTCATAGAAGCCCTCCATGATATGGCTTCAATGTACATTTCCAACTCAGTTTCCAAGAATGCCCCTAGACTCCAACTTAACTGGACAACTTCCTAGCCTCCATGTCATTGCTTATACAATTTCTTCCACTTAAATGCTGTCCTGATATTTGCCTGACAAAATCCTACCTGATCTTGGGATTAGCATCACCTTCTGAACCTATCAACAGCATAGAGCTTATCACATTGCATTAAAATAAATTTTAAACCCATCTATTTTCCATTAAGCAGTAAGGTGCTAGAAGACAGAAATTACATCTTATTTACAGTTGTATATTTCACATCAAGCACAGGGACTGACCAATTATATAGATAGATAAAGTTGTGATTTAAATTTTTAAAAAGGCTTATTGAGATCCAGCTTCACCACCTACCAATTTTATGATCTTAAAAAAAAATTGTCTCTTTAAGTCTCAGTTTTCTCATCTGTCAAATGAAGTTAAAAATTCCAGTTTATAAAAACAAAAATTAACAAGTGTAACCTAATCAAACTAAAGAGCTTCTGCACAGCAAAAGAAGCTATCAACAGAGTAAATGGACAACCTACAGAATGGAAAAAATGTTCGCAAGCTATTCATCCAACAAAGGTCTAATATTCCATATCTATAAGGAACTTAAATCAACAAGCAAAAAACAAATAACCCTATTAAAAAATGGGCAAAGGACATGAGCAAACACTTTTCAAAAGAAGACATACAAGCAGCCAGCCAACGAATATGAAAAAATGTTCATCATCATTAACCATCAGAGAAATGCAAATCAAAACAACAATAAGATACAATCTCACACCAGTCAGAATGGCTATTATTTAAAAGTCAACAAATAACTGATGCTGGCAAGGCTGTAGAGAAAAGGGAACACTTATACACTGTTGTTGAAATACAAATTAATTCAATGACCATGGAAAGCAGTTTGAAGATTTCTCAATGAACTTAAAACAGAGCTATATCCCATTACTGGGTACATAACCAAAAGAAAAGAAATTCTTCAATCAAAAAAGACACATGCCAGTGGTTCATGCCTAGAATCCCAGCACTTTGGGAGGGCGAGGCGGGTAGATCACGAGGTCGAGATCCAGACCATCCTGGTCAACATGGTGAAACCCCGTCTCTACTAAAAAATACAAAAATTAGCTGGGCATAATGGCGCGTGCCTGTAGTCCCAGCTACTCGGGAGGCTGAGGTAGGAGAATTGCTTAAACCCAGGAGGTGGAGGTTGTGGTGAGCCGAGATCACACCATTGCATTCCAGCCTGGATAATAAAAGCGAAACTCCACCTCAAAGAAAAAAAAAAAAAGACATATGCACTTGTATGTTTATTGCAGCACTATTCACAATAGCAAAGACATAGAGTCAACCTAGATCCCTATCAATGTTGGATTGGATAAAGAAAATGTAGTACATATACACCATAGAATACCATACAGCCATAAAAACGAACAAAATTATGTCCTTTACAGCATATGGATGCAGCTAGAGGCCATTATTCTAAGCAAATTCATGCAAGAACAAGAAACCAAATATCACATGTTCTCACTTATAAGTGGGAGCTAACACTGAGTACACATGGACATAAAGATGGCAACAATACACACTAGGGACCGCTAGAGGGCGGAAGGAGGAAAATGAGTGTGGATTGAAAAACTTCCTATTGGATACTAAGCTCAACACCTGGGTGATGGAATTCATACCCCAAACCTCAGTGTCACACAATATACCTACGTAACAAACCTACACATGTGCCGCTAAAGCTAAAATAAAAGCTGAAGAAAAAATTCCAAAGTTTCTTAAAGATAAATACAGATGATATAAGTAAAAGCAACTTATAATCTGATATCTTCTTGCTCATTTACTTGGTATTTATATTTTCTTCTCCTACATTATTTTAATAGAAGCTTAAGAAATAAATTTTGATATGATTTGGGTGTGTGTCTCTTCCAAATCTCATGTTAAAGTGTGATCCCCAATGTTGGAGGTGGGGCCTAGTGGGAGGTATTTGGGTCATGGGAGCAGATTCTTCATGAATGGCTTGGTGCTGCCCTTGTGGTAATGAGTGAGTTCTCACTCCATGAGTTCACGTGAGATCTGGTTGTTTAAAAGAGCCTGGCACCTCTTCCCTCTCTCTTTTGCTCCCTTTCCTGACCATGTGACATGCCCGTTCACCCTTCACTTTCCACCATGACTGAAAGCCTCCTGATGCTTTCACCAGAAGTAGACGCTGGCCTCATATCTCCTGTAAAATCTGAAGAGCTATGATCCAAAATAGTCCTCTTTTCTTTATAAATTACTGAGTCTCATTTATTTCTTATAACAATGCAAAATGTACTAATACAGAAAATTGGTACTGAGAGTGGGGTGTTGCTATAAAGATACCTGAAGATGTGGAAACACCTTTGGACCTGGAAACAGCTTTGGAA